CCCACCCTGCCCCCTTCCCGACGCCCCTTCCCCCTTCCAATGCCCCCTCCAGCCCCCGATCAGAGCCCCCCTCTCCTCCCACCCTGCCCACTTCCCGACACCCCTTCCCCCTTCCAATCCCCCCCTCCAGGCCCCCGATCACAGCCCCCCTCTCCTCCCTCCCCCACCCCCTTCCAACCCCCCTCCTCCCCCTCCCCTTTCAGCACCCAGGATCCCATCTCCCTCCTCCATCCCCCATCCGCATGGGTTGGGGGACCCCAGTGCTGGGTTGGGGGGGCTGACAGGGGTGGGTCAGGGACACCCCTTGGGCCTTGTCCGGGGGGGATGATTTGGGGGCCCCCCTTCAGCCCTGGCTCGGGGAGGGGCTCGAGGTCCCCATGGTGGGGGGTGGGGGGTCCCTGTTTACTTTCTCCCCCCGGCAGCGAAAGGGGCCTTTGGCTTCGATCATCTCATAGAGGGTCACCCCCAGGGTGAAGTAATCCACACTCCAGTCATATTCCTCGTTCTTCAGCAGCTCGGGGGCCATGAACCCTGGGGGAACAGACAGGGGTGAGGGACTCCGGCATGGGGGATGGGGGGGGCTGGAGATGGGGGGCAGGGCTGGAGGGGTGGGGGATGGGAAGGGAGGAGAGGGGGCTGGGTTGGGGGTGATCAGGGATTGGAGACAAGGGGGGATCTAGGATTGGGGACCCTGGAGAGGGGGATGGGGGGGCTGGAGATGGAAGGATGGGATGGGAGGAGAGGGGGCTGGGTTGGAGGGCTGGGGGATGGGAGGCCAAGGGGGATCTGGGATGGGGGACCCTGGAGAGGGGGACGGGGGCTGGGAGAAGGGGGAGAACAGAGGGAGCCCCCTGAGGCGATGGGGACAGAGGGACCCCCCCCTTTGGGGAGCCGCATCCCCACACACACCACGCTTACCTGGGGTCCCCGCGTACCCCTTGGTCTTCTCCTTTCCCTCCGGCAGCTCCACCGCCAGCCCCAGGTCCGACAGCCGGACGTGCCCTGGGGAGCCGGGAACCAGTGTTAGACAGGCCAGGACAGGATCCCCCGGCCCCCCGCTCCCCAAGAGACCCTCCCCACACGGACCCCCTTGGTGGGCCTGGTGCCAGCCCCTCACCTCTGCCTTTCCCCTCACTGCCCCCCGGCCCCCCCGGCCGCGCCCCTCACCCGCGTCATCCAGCAGCACGTTCTCCGGCTTGAGGTCCCGGTAGATGATACGGTTCTGGTGCAGATGCTCCAGGCCGCAGATGATCTGGGCCGTGTAGAAAACGGCCCGGGGCTCCAGAAAACCGGGATTCTTCTCATCCACGTTGTAGACGTGGTACCTGGGGCGGGTGGAGGGGGAGGTGAAGCAGAGACGCGGTACACGGGGTGGGCGGAGGGGGAAGGTGAGACGGAGACGCGGTACTCGGGGTGGGCAGAGGGGGAGGTGACACTGGAAACACGGTAGGTGGGGACGGCGGAGGGGGAGGTGACACAGAGACGCGGTACCTGGAGACAGCGGGGGGGGG